AATATTTCTTAACCAAAGTTTATCCCTCTTATAAGTGCCAAACCGGCTTCAAAAATATTTACGATAATTTAAATGAGAGTGTAATAAAAAGTTAATTTTACCAAAAATTCACCTGTTCCTCAACACAACGAGCAGCATGTAATGATCTTTATGTCTGAAAACCTAGGGTAGATTTTTCCCCTTCTGAAGGTGTTTTATACAGTATGGTCGTCTTTAATTGAGGGCTGCTATTACAGAGAGAAGAAAGAAGAAATGAACTACTCTTAATGAAAGTTCTATTAGGGGAAACTGACCTGAGCATTGTAATAACATAGACGATAAAAGCTCAGGGGAAGTATATAGATGGATATACGAGAATTGGAATGATGTATTGCTGAAAATAATGTGACCGTGTATGATTAATATCATTTTATATTAAAGGAAGCTGTCAGTTAATACCTAAGCCAGCTTAAGATCGCAGTATTGACATATATATTAATTAATTACGCTTTCATAGATAAGAAGGTGAGATAATAATTATTTATTTTGTGCAAAATTTCAAATGGAACCATAATATCAGATATATATATATATATATATATATATATATATATACTCATATAATATAATATAAATAAAACTAGCTTTTTAAAAGTTTCAATATCTATTATACACATCTAATTACAAACTCATTAGTTCGCTTTGTTCATAAAATTACCTAAATACACTCGGTGCACTATTTTATCATATATTTACTAATAAAATAATGATTATTTTGTATTATTTCATTTTTATCAATACTGTTTCATATATGAATTACAATGAAGACATTTAGTAATTAATTTGTTAATTGTGATAATGTTGTAAATGGCTATGTTAGAGGGTAACCCATTGATTGTACTTTATATTTATGATATCTACTTAATTACTATTTTTGATTTAATTAATGTTCAAACATTACTTGAAAAAAATTTAATATGCCAATACTGATAGATAAATCATATGTCTAGTTTCTTAATGCGAATGTAGTTCTATAAGCTAATCATAAAAAAATTATGAAAATCATATTAAATTATGAAAATGTCACAAAAGTCTAATATTAACTCCCCGTAGAGCAAGTTATTGTAATGGGCCAAAAATCGAAATTGAAAATTTTCACATTTCTCAACGTTTAGAAGGTTTCTGAACATTTTTGCATACCTCAGAAAAAATGGATGTGTCTGTGTATGTGTGTGTATGTATGTATGGATACAAATTTCCAGTCACCTTTTTAGGGCGCACAGATCGAACCGATTTGAATGGTTCAAAAAACATTCGATTCCTATTGATAGGGAGATATGCTGATTAGTTTTTGGCAAAGGCAGGTCCAGCAGTTACGGAGATAAAGAGCAAAGAGTGCAGAAAATTGCAGTTTTTGAGAGAACTAAGCGTCCGATTTAAATGATTCAAAGAACTTTCTGCTTGTCTAACAAAATAATTGATTTTGGAAACAAAATTTTTTGTTTCAACTTTATTTTCTTTTTTTTTTTCAAAACCAATTTCTAAATTTCTCCTTCGGGCAGTTAAACATGCATAAGTAGTTGATTTTTATATTAGATGGGCTAATTCATGTGGATGCTATGGATTTTAAAGTTGATACCAACAAGAGATCTATACTTTCTATAATGAATAAAACGCAAAATTTTAGTTTGGCACCACCCACATGTATTGTGACCCCTTACAATCCGAAGCAATTCCACTAGCAACTGCTATCTCGTCAACTCAAAGAATTCCATGTACCATACAGAACCAAATAAAAATTACTATTGTTTGACAGTACCGAGACAAAATTCCATAGATTTCCCCTCGTCAAACGGTGGTTCAATATCAGCAGAACGCGGGCATTTATATTGTTTCGTTTTCGCACGTCTAGTCGTTCACGAACACAAATGTGAGATCTCCCACACTCGCAGACGCCCTGCGATTGATGGCGAATTCGTGCGATACGAGAGGAATGCAATACAATTCGAAACATGTGACATGGGGTAAGGAGAAATTTTGCGGCGTCATACCACACCCCGAATCGAATAAGTGGCATTGCATTATATCGATGCAGAATTGCAATTTAAATCGAAGCGAAGATAAATCTACAATTGGGGAAAGATATAGAATAAAAAAATAGAGCAAGAATGAGAAATTCACTTCTTCTGTCGTTTGTGTAATTAACGATTAATTACAAAACGATTAAGAATAATTACGTAAATTTCTTATTTTTGCTCTATATTAACTTTTTTCATTCTATATATATTTTCCCAATTGTAGATTTATCTACGCTATTAATTATTAATCAGTTAACTGTGATTGACAATTATGATTGTCACGGAGAAGTGGAAAAATTGTCTCTATTGACGAGTAAAATCGTAATGCGTATAAATCTTTGACCATTAGATATTTAGATTGCAACTTAGAAAGCTGCTAGAACCAATCCAATTCAGAAGACTGAAAAAGAACTACCCCAACGACTTGTTTTAGGTTTAATAATAAGTACTAATTTCTATTTCTCATTTTGTTTTTTTTTTTCTTTTTGACAATCCATATATCATACTGTAAAGAACTGCGTCACTGGATGCAGTTCTCAGCTTTATCTTTCTTTGTTCAATTCTAAGCCATGCAATTAATTTTATATCTCTTGTAGATAGATGATCAAATAAATTATAATAAAAAAAAAGATTGCAATTTTGAAATAACACAAAACGTTTTTTATAACACTTTTAACTACCTACAACCTTTGCCTACAAGGGCAAGAAGTAATCGTTTTGACGTTATTATATGGCTTTTTGAATGGAATGGACTAATTAAGAATACTTGAAGTATTTATTGATTTTGTAAGATTTATGCAGCTATACCGACGAGAGGCCATTTTTGCTTGAATATTTGAGATCTGTAACCTCAAGTGAAAATTTGTGAATAGCTGCCTGACATCGAACTTTGTCCTGGCTGGGATCGAAACAGCAAAATGGAGACTAGTTTAGGCTAGCCCACTTCCGAATCTATTTTGCCACTGCTGGTCCCCAAATAAAACATATTCTCAAATTTCAAGATATTTAGAATATTTTGAGGATATACCGATATAAAATTAATCACAACAAAATTTTACCTCGATTCTGATGACATAAAAATGTGCTTGCAGTTAACTGGTTAAATTAAACCCTATTAAAACTCAAATCTGTTTGAATTAAAATAAGTACTGTTTTAAATAATTGTAATTGTAATATTAATACATTGTTATAATTGTAATATAGAAATGCTAATATTTCAAATCAATTTTAATATTAGATTTAAGGATGTTTTATATTAGTATTTCTTTTACTGTTACGAAAGTAATCCTGTATGTTCTTTAATATAAATAAACATGCATTTCAAATATATTATTAATATTTTTATTTTGTGAAAAATATGACAGTTTGAGATAATTTTTCTTTATACTTCGGATTATGAGTATTCAAATGCATGTGAGTCCTGTTTTTATACGCACGAATTACTCAGTAATTCTATTATAGTTTTATCACGACTCGTATGAATATACTCGTATGCTACATGTACAGATAAAATATTTTTCATAACATTTACATAATTTCAGTTATAAAAATTTTATAACGTATCTGCATAAAAATCTTAATGCTTATTTATATATGTATATATTAGGGCAAATCAAAATGTATGGACCGAGAAAGGACTATAATATCCTGAGGGCTTCGTTTTGACTATCAGCGCAAATATTCATCAAATTTCCAGACCAATAAACCTGATTATCTTGTTCAAATATATGGAGAGAAATCTTTGATAAAAATTTGGCTGGGTCGAAATTCATTTCCGAGTTATGGTTTCTCCGGCACAGTTTCTAGAAATGGCCCAGAATCGCACACAACTGGCAAAAAAATTATCCGCCCTAATAAATAAATTGATTTATATTATATGTACATTAAATTTAAAAAATGAAAAATATATTAAGAATTCTCCGTCACAAAATACCATACAATCCAACTCCTACTCTCATTGAAAGTGCTGCTGCATATTTTGTGCAAAAAGCTTTCCAGAAAAAAACCGCAATGCCCCAAACAAATATCCTATAGCCAAATTAAACGCCGTACATACATAGTTGTTTTTCCCTTTTCCCTCAAACCCTCGTCGTGAAATTTTTGCGTCGGGTGAGAATCCATATGCGTCCAAATCGAAAACATATGGGGTTTGTTAACGAAATACGCAGCAAAAAATATTTGCTAGTCATGGACACGATCGAGTACTGTCCATTTAAAATGAAATATTGACATAAATAGATTTTGTATATAATTGAATTTCGGCCTAGTGGATGAGGTGAAATATTCCACCGTAACTATCTACGTGCATTATACATAAATTTATCTACCTACAAACACCGAAACATATATATGTATATATATATATATATATATATATATATATATATACTAATGAGAAATCGTAGAGTAAAAAAAATTTAAGACAGTTACCTTTAAAAAATGTGTGAAGTTTATTGTACTTATCTTTGAAAATTTCAGAGAACTATAAGGACTTATTGAATAGATCAATAAGTTATATTTCCTGGGCTCATCGAAAATAATTTATCAATCTAGGTCTCAGCTTACCTGAAATAAAAAGAAAAATATATTAATTTTCATAATAAATAATTATCACAATAAATTAAATCAAATCGTTATGACAAAACACTACATATACTACGTGTCAAATGTCAATTAAAATAAGATTTATATTTTTGATACATATACATGTGTTCTTTTAAAATACGCGTAATAATTTATTTTTACAAAACTTGCTTTTTTATTTAATATACTTCTTTGTAAACTTATGCCTGTTAAGTGTATCATGTCCAGTGGATGTCTTAAAATCAGTATTATTATAATAGTTATGATTGGTAACAAGGTATTATAGAACTGTTGTAATTTTCGACAACTAATTATTTCCATATATAAACAAGAAAAGAATTTGTATAACACCTTAGAAAAATGATGGATTTAGAACGTCATAAAAGAATATCTAGCTCAAGCAATTTTGAAAACATTTCAATTGCAACAAGACGTCATACTAGAACTAGCCATAAACTTGATAATTTTTTATACGATTTTGTTGAAAATGAGAAAGTACTAGAATGCATTCCTTGCAGTTCGTAAGTATAATTACTTTTTATCATTTACATATTACATGTAACATATAACTTTTTATAATTATATATTTTTATTTGCAATATAAATTTATATATACATATTTCTATGATATTTTCAGATGTGAAGCTGCCCTGTTCATTGAAACATTGAGGAAAGGTGTAACAAAACTGCAGGTGCTAAAATGCAAAGATAAATTGAAAATTACTGAAGCGCCAAATTTTATGGTTAATATATTTGATTAGGTATATTGCAAGAATTTGTGGTAAATTTGTTTTTCGTTCAGGAAAGCTATTTTGCAAAAGATCTGCCACGAAAACGAATCTTTGACAGGGAATCTTTGGAAACGACAAGTATAGCTCAGAAAAGTTATGGACAACGTCAAGTGCAACAAGAACGATCTTTGATAACAGAAATATTACTTCATTGCATTAATGATCTTACAAAAAATTGCACTTACATTTCTCTGATAGAAAACATTTGGTAAATTTCAGTGTTTATATATTATTGCTTCACTGCATTAATGATCTTTTAAACCGACGTTAAAAATTATTTTACAAGTGTTTCTTTTTTTACAGGCACTTAAATCTTCGCGAAAAAGAATATAATTCTATAATTACAAATGCGAGTAACAGAAACAAAGAATTAGATGATTTACAAATGGAAATTATGCACCTGAAATCCATGAACCATATTGAAAAAAATAGACTTTATAAAACCAAAAAGCAATTGCAGAACAATATTCATGACAATATTATAAAACATGACACTGAATTGCGGTTCACTGAAAAGTAAATTTATTTTAATTTCCAAATAAATATCCTGTATACTTGATGTTAATTTTGTTGATTTAGGTATGAAAGTTCCCGCCGGGAGCAATTAAAATTATTTGTTATTCAAGCAGAAAATTCTTGTAAAAAGTCAACTAAGAAAAGTAGGCATGAAGGATTTGTAGGTGAGATACATTAGAAGAAAGTATTATCAAAATTTATTTAGATTAATTTAGTTTTAATTTTTCCACAAATTAAACTAATTTAGTTTTTTTTTTATTTATCAGTAAAAATATAAATAATTCGATTATGAAAAATGCGATTATGTTTTTAACATTACTCTATCCGGTTTAGTTACAATGCTCTTCAAATACATCATATGTAAAATCATTTTCTAATATGGTAGAGACCTTAAACATAAAATTATCAAACAGTATACTTCAAATACTAAGATAATTCAATTATCACCTTAGATATAAGGGTCCATGACGAGATCGTGAAATACTTGTCTAATCAAATTACCAAGTTCTCCAAAGAAATAGTCGCCTGGAGTGAAAAATACGATACGGAAATCGAAGTTCTGGATACTGAACTGCTTCGGAAGAAGGAATGGAACGATCAATTGAAAAAAAATATAGATGAGCTGAGAAAAAAGTACGATGCCAATAATGAGGAAATCGAAGAGTATCTGCAAGTAAAAGGTGCTAGAGATTTGTTAGCTAAAAAGAATAATATGTCCATTTGCCTGCAAAAATGGTGGCGGGGAGAGATTTTCCGTAAAAAGCTCATAACTAAGAAAAAAAAGGGCGGGGGCAGAAAGAAATGAGGCTACGGAATATTTTTTGGGAGTTTAAAACTTTTCTAAAACTGCTATGATTGAACAATATTTTTTTTATTTATTACTTTAATATTTATTAAAATTAAGTTTTAATTTAACTAAAATATCATATTACTCATATCGCCAAAATAAAGTTTAATTCATAATTATTTTTTTGTAAATCACCTAGGCTTACTTTCCGTTTGTTACTATTGATATTATAATTAATAAATATTTGATTTATTGTATAGTTGTTAAATTCTTTTACTTATTCGAACTGTTATAGTATATTATATCTGTTACAGTATAAGTACAAAATTATTTATATAATATTTTCCTTATTGTAACAAAAACTAATGAACTTAAAAAAAAATGAAATTAATATTAGACCAATTCAGAGTTTCCAAATTCGTTGTTTAAATTATATTTCTGTGCTAAGATTTATATAAAAACAAATGTAATAAACAAAACTAAGTTTCGTGCTAATATTTATGAAAATACAAATAAAGTTTATGGAACTCACTCAGATTTCAATTTTGTTATAATATTCTTATTTTAGTTAGATACAAACTCCCAAGTTGGGAGTACCAACAGCACTTATACATTCCAATGCAGCTTCTGTATTGAATTGAATTATATGTTGGCATTTTGAAAAGTTTGATGTGTAATTCAATTATCTATTCAGCTCCAAATCTTATTTATAATTTTTGTAAATACTCAGATCCATAAATTCTGTTTTAAAATTTATTTTCAATTTTTGCTATAGCATTTAGTATGAATTTGATAAATTTTATTTACAAAACCAAATGATTTATATTGTAAAAAGTTCATTATCATAATAATTACTAATCTATTACAAGTATCGTCGGTTTTGGTGGAACACAAATCAAATAACTATATACATAGTGCTTTGCTTCGACTCACAATGCAGCCGTGCATAACGGAAATGATAACGGCAACAGCAAAATTATCCTAATGGAACTAATCCTACAAGAAATTTCAGATATTTTAGAACATATTCGAATTCACAACAATATTAGACAAAAATCAAACAATCCACTTAAAAGTAGTCCCTAATCAGAATCCGGCTGAATAAATACCATAACTAGAATCATCTGTAATCGTTTGATAGTTTCAATTACTAATCTGCTTCTTTAGATGTTACAGAGTTCTGTTTCGCCTCTAAACAAAGAAGATAAGTGATCATCCATTAATCACGTGAGGTTTTCAGGGAAAGGGGGTGTTTTACAAAAAATAAGGAGGAGTAAGGGTATAGTAAGATATCACGTGTATTGATTTTTTTCCAGATTTTTAAAAATTTAAAACAAAAATAAAAAATTTTCCAATTATTTCTCGTAACTAAAAATACATGAAATTTAAAATCTTCATTAATTAAGAAAATCAACAGTGCAGAGTAATTAACTATGTGCAGTGGGAGTCATATCCGCTATATGGACTAAAAAAACTAACTTGATGAAATTTATTATTAATTTATTAGAAGGCGTCCATTAATCACGTGAGTTTTTCAGGAGAAGGGGAGGTTTTACAAAAAATCACGAAATATATCGTAAGATATCACGTGCATTTATTTTGTACCTGAATTTTTAAAAATAATCCAAACATTTTCAAAAAAAAATTAACATTTTATTTTTTTCTCGTATCTAAAAATACACATGCTCTTTGGTGGGGAAAGGCAGGTAATTTTGAAATATCGAACCACGTATCACCAAGAAAAAGGAGATCCAAAAATCCTTAAAAAATCGATCAAATGATTAATGGACGCCTCTAATATCAACTTTTTAACTGTTGTTTTGAAGATACTACTTTTTACGAGGTATGCCCTATCCATATTTGATATATTTTTTATTAAAATTTTCCGACTAATGATGATGTTTCTAACTTCATATAGCAATACTGATAAGGTTATTTTCACTTAGAAGCCTATTATGTTGTCGAAGTACATATAATGCACTTCAACTATAACTATTTCTTGGATAATTCGTATGATTTTCTATCCCAATCATAGCTAACTGAAACTCAATTTGTTTCAAAAGCATTTGAGTCTACAAATCCTGAGCTATTCGTAACATTAGGCGCCAACGATACTAGATTACAGGGATCACCTGTTTACACGTGCTTCGAGCGGCGTCAAATGTAGTGAGCTAAGAGCTCTCTGATCCGTGTACAGGCGACACATGGCTTGTATTCCTCAAACCATAATCGACAAATTTCAATCATAGGACAATAGATTGTTCTAAATTGTTTGGCTATCGAGTTGAACCATTGTAGAACTAAAGCATTAGTTTCCAAGTTTCAGATAATTTTTGTAAATGAAATTTCAGAGGAATGGCAAGATTAATTCAATGCTTATTTTAAAATCATCTCCGTAAAATTAAATTTATAAATTTAAATTTTCTTGTGTAATGTATTAATTAATGCATGTTCTCAAAATGTTACATATCTTCATTTATATTTGATGCTGCAAAAGAATCTATTATTACGATACAGTTATAAGGTGCTAACACAAATTATCATTCATTTGCGCCCATCATTGTCAGTATATGCTCTGACCTAAATTCGCAATCATTAATCAGTTCAAAGGATGCGCAAAGCAAATTCGAATGCTTGACGACATCGTAAGTTCATTCAAGCCAACTGCTGGTCAAAGATATGCAAATAACTCTATTATTATCCACTATCCACACATTTGAAACTTTAACTGCCTAAGAAATATTTATTCGAGGAATTACAGTTGCAGACAAAGTTTGTGAGAGAAGTATTGCTGAAAATTGTTGAACAAATTAAACTTCAGGCAACTTTATTAAATTATAATAGAGTGAAAATTAAAGTAAAATGCGATGTTATGCAATATAGTTTACATAGTAAACTTTCTGCGCATAATTTAATTGTTTAATAAATCTAAAAGTTGTCCGTTAACATTAGAATGACGGAGTGAGTCAATTTGACTCATGTGCACTTTTTATGTAACATACGTAATAATTTCAAGTCATTATTTTTTAAATATTTTTTTGGTTATTCGTGGTACAATGAAAGGTACATAAAAGTAAATTCTATTACTTCCTAATCCCTTACCCAAATTGACTCAATCAGGCACAATAGGTATACAACTAACGTTCGTCATTCTAGTGTTAAATCAGCATTAGCGCAAGCAATAAATAGAATATTCATTTCCCTGTCTGATAAATATCCATTATCAGTTAGAATCCTAATTATATGAAATTACTACAAATATTACGGTTATATGCATTAACAAATCATGTTATGAAATGAGTTACATGTACCACATTCTGCTACCCATATTACTTTGTATCTGTACAGACATAATGCATTATCACAACAATATGTAGCTGCTAGTACGACAACTAATTCAATGATAACAACGAAGAAGCAGCATAATTATACGTCAAATATGTTCGACAAATATAACCATATATTCCATATCTACAAAATAACTCACGTGAGCAAATGCACACAATGTGTTCCAACTCAACCATCAAGATTTAATAACATTAATTCGCAGATGTATGCAGATTATTGTTATGAAGCGAAATAGTGAATAGTAGAACACAGATTAATAAAGGCAGTGGGTTGTAACCAATTGTTAAAAAAAATGTTCTATGACTATGAATGTGGTAGAAATAATTTTTGTTCGATTGTTAATAAATTCAATATACTGCACATCAATCGATATTATTTAGAAAAAGTGTCCATGCTACAATGGTTACTTTCATGTTCAATAATTGCATTGAACCCTGACACTCTTCTTTTTGAAAAAAAAAACAGTTATAAATATTATTACTAATTAGATCTTCAGAGATTGATTGTATATTATAGAGTTATTCCATCAATATAAAAAGTAAAGTGGGATAGATCGAGATTTTTTCTACAAACATCTATAGTAACAATTATTCATCAATTATAATTAGGAATGAATAAGGCAAATGCAAAAGTTATAAAAGTCTTGAAACGACTTTATATCAACATTTTGTCAATAATTTATACGAAAATTTTATTGTAACTAATAATATCTAACTGAGACATAAAATTTATTAAGATGTTTCTTACTTGACTTTTCAAAATTAAGCGTGGCTGAATAATAACAAATGCTTATTTTGGATCTTATCCAAAACTAAACTTAACTATTGAATTTAAAAATGTACTTCAAATATTTCCTTTTCCAAGTGGAAATAGACCTTACCCGACATTGCTGCACCAATAAAAGGTCAGCTCTATTAGATAAAATCTAATAATATAATCATCAAAAAATGGACGAGTTAACCATTGGGTTACCATCTAAAAATACGAAGTAAGGAGAAGTTTCAGGCAGATAGCTTATAGGACGTAAGGTTCTGATCGCTTATCAATTTTAATATTTCATGTAAAATGTAGGGGAGACTGGGTACGGTAGTGACAATCGCCATAACAGCTCAACTATACTGATTTTGAGCTAGGGTCCAAAGGGAAAAGATCTGGTATGCTTGTTTAAAGCGTAGATAATTTTAGATAATTAAGCTCAGTCGTAACAATTATTCAATCGAATGAGTTCGTTGGGTACGGTTGTGACATCATGGGGTTAACGGTTCACCCTTTCCAGGTGAAGATTATATAGATAAATAAAGCTCTAACTTAACTTACAAAAACAAAATACTTTCTTGTATGATTTGATTTTGTGAGTAATCCAACGTATTTGAGAACAGTATTTCAGTGTTTCCGTATAAACTGGTAAATTAACAACATTATAGCTAATCAAAGAGTGGCACAACCGTACCCAGTTTCCCCTACTTCCGTAAATCAATTTTTTATTAACTTAAGAAACTAATATCATCTGTAATTTTTATATGTACATCATAACAATATTCTTGCAAAATATCATTCACTGAATTACATCACAATAAGTGAATGAATTGATTCCAATATCAATTACTCAGTAATAAAAGTGCAACCACATCCGCATGAAGGAAACGTTAGATTTTCAGCTTGAATGAAAA